AAAAAAAAAAACCAACAACAAATATAGCATAAGCAATATTTAGAAGATGAAGCAGGTATTAGAAGGGTAAACAATTAGGAAGAGGTCAGTCTTAATATTATAATATAGTTAGGTATCTTTCCAAACATGTTCACTGAAAGACATGGGTCCATTTCTCTTTAAAGATCTAACTTAAATAAATCAAAGAACTTAGGAGAAATCTAAACTTTTAAAGGAAATAGTAGTAATTTTTTAATTAAGTTAAATATAATATTAATCTCCAGTGTAACAAAACAAATAACTGCTATGAAAGCATGCCTTAGAAAATGAGTAGCGGAAATATAGATTTACTTTTTGTAGAGAAATTCTCCAGCTGCTACTGCTACTGGCCGGTGAGCTGAATAAACTAGATGATAGACATTTTCACAATCTTCTGCAGTAAGGACTTCTTCACTACTCCTAAGAAATAAGCAGTAACAGATGCTTTTAGTAATGTCATAATTCAAAGCATATTAACAGTACAAAAATTCATGTTCATATTTTTAAAAAGTTGTAAAGTTTCACTAATTTGTGTTAAAGGAAGAAAAAAAAAAAAAACCAAACCAATCTTATTTATCATCCACCAAAATCTATTAAAGATAAATGACAGGTAAAATTAAAAGTGAATACAGAAGGTAAACAAATGAACGTTTAAGATTTATGTCACATGGATGCTAACAGAAGAAGAAGACAAAATAATAAAAACTAATATAGGAACTAAAGGGGCAGCAAGCTAAGAGCTTAGAGTTAAAAATCGCAGATAATATTTTGCTCATATTTCATAGTAACATTGAGTTACAACATTACATCAAAATGTACTAATGTCCCATTTATATCACTTTAATCAAGAATACTTCATCCACGATGTACTGAACACCATATAAGGCAATACAAGTGGTTTTTCCAAATAACTAAAATCTAAGTGCCAAAGATTTTTAATTGCAATCATCGAAAAAATATATATATTACTAAAACGTAATGCTCATTTTTTCTTATTTTTAAAAAACAAAATAAGCCTAACAAAATATTTTCGATAAATCATAATCATTATTAAGGCCCATTAACCACAGTAACCCAGGGTAAACGCTGTTGTATTCTTCCCTTGCAACTGCATTCAGGGTCCTGGCCCCTGGCAGCTCTTTCAGGCTGAGTGGTGGCTCACACCTGTAATCCCAGCACTTTGGGAGGCTGAGGTGAGTGGATCGCCTGAGCCCAGGAGTTCAAGACTAGCCTGGGCAACATGAAACCTCAATTCTACAAAAAA